CCAGCCAGGTAGGCATCCAGCCTCTTCTTAAAGACCCCCAGGGTAGGGGCCAGCACCACTTCCCTTGGAAGTTGGTTCCAGCTCCTAGCCGCCCTAACTGTGAAGTAGTTTTTGCGGATGTCCAATCTATACCTCCTCTCCATCAGCTTGTGCCCATTACTCCTTGTTATGCCAGCGGGCGCTAGGGGAAACAGCGTCTCCCCCAAACCCTTCTGGTCCCCCCTAGTGAGTCTATAGACAGTCACCAGGTCCCCCCTCAGCCTTCTCTTGTGGAATGGTGATAGTGAAGAAAAAAATCTTCAATCTAGTACCCACCAAAATAGCTGGGGAAATAAAAGGGTGGTAGGATGAACAGCGAGGGAAGTATATACCCACAGGGCACATTCTATATAGAGCCTGCTTTAACTCGATGGGAAATGATTAAAAAATCTGCAGTTATCTTTTCTCCCCTGTTTATGACATGACTAGAAAACACAGGGAGATATAGTGCAGTTGCACAATCTTATGTAACTGTGACCTGTTGAAGATTTTCCTTTGGCTTTTACCAAGATGTCACATTAGTTACAATGTGTAAACAGTTGCAGGATGCATAAAGGGAAAGGTGTCAGTTGTTCTGCACAGGAAAAGAAAAGGGCATAAAGTTCTTTCTCATATAGGCTACTCCCATCTTGAATCGCAGCTCAGTAGGGAGAATAGGTTCTGAAAGCAGGTTCTGGGTTGCTTTTAACACCTAGTTTGCAGGAACACAGAATGGATGAAGTTTTGACACTTCCACTGCAGATGCTGGCAAAAAAGAAGTGAGCTGGTGTAGATTAGAAGGGAATCCAGGCATGGTGAAATGCTGACCCAGATTACTTCCTTCTGGAGCAAGAGGAAAACCAAATAATGACTCTAAGTTATTGTTTTGCCTTAGGGGCAGAACAGCTTTAATCTAGGACTTTCTCAGAGGAGAGGGCAATATTACTGTCTAGTTCCTGATTATGTCCATTTAAGAAAATAATATATCTACATCTTAACTAAATTATACAGATGGATCTTCCCAGATAAATTTCAAAACTGTATACAGTATTGTTCCCAATTTATAGGCTATCCTATGTTAAATGGTGAAATAAGTTAGTTTACCATTTTGAAACTAAGTACAGTACAAAGGAAATGTGCATGTACTTGCACATGTTTATGTATGTATGAGTGTGTACATATGCACACATGCATTTCCTTTGTACTCTCTCTCTCCCTCTCTCTCTCTGTATGTGTGTATACAGAGAAAGAGAGAAAGTACAAGGCAAATATGTGTATCTATCTATCTATCTATCTACCTATCTATCTACCTATCATCTTTAGATAGATAGATAGATAGTAGACTATGTATACACCCCCCCGCCCCTGACTACACTTGGATGAAGGAGGAGCTGATAATTATGCAGAGATAATAATTACATCAGGAATATATGCCGGTTTTAATTGTACTTTGATCCATAGGCCATGGAACGGGGTGGGCCACCCATGTCATGGTCTGACCAACTTTTAGCATGTTAATTTAGCTAGCTATGCAGTTAAAAAAACAGCTATACAGTTTTAACCAGAATGACAATTGCACATTTCTGGGTTATATAAATTAATGTCGTAGGGTTACCATATTTTCAGTATCAAAATATAAGACACCTGTGTTGGGGAGGGAGGGAGAGGCAGAGGGGTGGGGGAGGAGAGTGGTAAGGGATGTTTGGGGGGGGGGGAGTGATATGTCTGTCCCCTGCCTCTGCCCCT